GACTCGGCTGAAGGAGAAGGGTAAGTTGGACTCCGCCTACGGCTGGGGTGATCGCCGCTCCTTCGCGTTTTCTCTAGGGCCAGCAGCGTCCACAGGAACAGGTCCGACGCAGTCCTCGGCAGGAGTAGGCTTGGCAGTGGCCAGCTCCCTGGCGTCTTCTAGTGTGCCATGGCCACCCGAGTTGGAATCTTTCAAGTCGCGCGTGGCAAGCAGGCACATCAACGTAGGACTTCCAGGTGGGTTGATGGTTTTCTCGGTCTACCTCTACACCAGCATTGGCGTAACAGGGGGCAATGTTGAGTTATTGAACACTCTCGGCGAGTACATAAAGTCCCTCACTTGCCTCTGGATTGTGCAAGGTGACTGGAACCTTACTCCTGAAGAGCTTGAAGCATCGGAATGGGTGTCCAAGGTCGGGGGCTGTATGTTTACGACGGGCCACGCTACGCGTAGAGCAGGGCCCGCTCCAGTAACCAGTTCGGGGCCAGAGGAGGAGGTCGACAGGAAGGATGAGCGGGAGATCGATTTCTTGGTGGGGTCCAGGTGTTTAGGGCACTGCGTCAAGGATGTCCTGGCGTTCCCAGCAGCCCCTTCGTGGCCTCATATGCCTGTGGGCATCGTCGTCAAGAACCTGGCCCCGTCGACGGTTGTCCCGAAGCAGGTTAGATATATGCAGTTCCCCCTGGACAAGCTCGTGGGTCCCCGGAGGCTCCCTACGGAAAGCACGTGGTCTTGGGAAGTCGGAGGTGGCTCGCACTGTTTGGGGTCCATGGTCAGGGAATGGTTTACCCAAGCTGAGGGCTGGCTCACGCAGTTCCACGACTTAGACAGTGCTAGCGCTGCCAGGATGTGTGGAAGAGCTGGGGGCCCTAAGGTCATAAAGATTCCCCTCGAGACGGTTTGGGACCGAGAGTCTAGGAGGAGATATTCAAAGCGGACCACCAGTTGGATGTCCTTCGAGGCGTTGGCTCGTCGTGCAGCTGCAGTTGGCCAAGATATGCTAGGAGCCAGAGCACGCGGTCTTTTTCACGAATGGTGTGCCGCCCTGTACGGGATGATCTCGGCGCTGGAGGCGCCAGACGAAGGCGCGAATGCCCGCTTTTTGATCAGCCTAGTAGAAGGGATATCCATGGGGCTCAGAGAGGAGTTAGAAGGGCTGTTCGGGCAGTTACGCGAGTATGTAGAAGGCCTGCGCAAGTCGGACGCCAAGGAGTCCCTGTCGGAGTGGAAGGAGTGGGCAAAGTCGTCAGTGCAGCGGGGAGGGAAGGCAGCTCATGCTTATTCCAGGGTCTCTCGCGCAGACAGGACGGTCCCGTTCAGTGTCGTAGACGACCAAGGCCGCTTGCCAGTCAACGGTGAGCTTGCGCTCCTCCAGCTTCTCGATCAATGGCTTCCCCTCTGGCGCAAAGAAGGCAGGCTCAGCAAAAACCACCCAGCTCATTGGGATGTGTTGGGACATGAATTGCCACCTATATCTTTGGAGCAGTTGAGGCGTGTGTGTAACTCGTATGGGGAAGGGGCTGGTCTTGGGTGGGACTCCTTCAATCCCCGCCAGATCTTGTTTCTTCCAGAGGAATATCAGTTGCGTGTTATTGATATCCTTCACTCGTTCGAAGATCGACCTTGTGTGATTGCAGAGTTTTTGACGAATATCATCTTCCTTGATAAGCCAGATGGTGGAGTACGCCCGATAGGATTATTGTGCATGTTCACCAAGATTTGGTCGAAGTGTCGTCAAAACATCTGCCGTGCCTGGGAACAGGCCCACGAGCAGGCCTTCTTCTGGGGCGTCGGGGCCACGTCGACCTGCGAGAGAGCAGGATGGGTCCATAACATGCTGGCCCACTTCGGGAAAGTCCTAGGGACCTCGGCGGCGACGGTGCTTCTGGACCTTAATCTATGAACACATCGACCATATGGACTTGTATCGTGCGGCGTGCCAGCATGGTTTCAATTTGAAGCTACTGCGAGGGCTGTGTGTGATTTATGCTGGGGATAGGATGCTGCACTATGGAGGGGCGGTGTCTAGGAAGGTGCAAGGTAATGGGGCAGTGATTGCAGGGTGCTCAGCAGCTACCACGCTTACGAAGTTACTTTTGTTATCGCCGCTTGCGGCCGCGCAGTCTGGCCGGCCACAGTTGTGCATCAGAAACGTGATAGACGACATCGCGTTGCAGAGTGTTGGGCCGCAGCAGCTCATTGCACCGCAGCTCGCCTCAGGTGTGCAGTCCCTGTTGTCCAGTTTCTCGGAGCTCGAACTCCCCGTCTCGGATAAGTCGAAGTACATGACAAGCGACTTGAATTTGGATGAGGCCTTGCAGCCCCTGTGGGACCTTCCGAAGGAAAGCAAGGTAGATCATGCAAGGAACCTCGGCACCGACGCGGTGATGGGGCCCCTTCGGAGGGTTCAGATCACTCGGGACAGGTGGGACAAGGCCAGAGGGAGGACGGCTAAGATTAAGAAGCTCAGGGAGGCGGGGGCCAACACGGGGTTCATTCAACGTGGAGGCCCTGCAGCGTCGGCTCTATGGGGGTCCAGTATCATGGGGAATCCCTCGACCCAACTGCATCGTCTTCGATTGGGAGCTGCTGGAAGTCTCGGGAAGGTCCCCAAGGGCTCCACGGTCGGGCTCCGTCTCCAGAGCTATGCTGAAGGGGTCCGAGTGGACCCGCTGCTGTTGAACGTCGGGTTGGTTGTGTTCCAATGGGCGACTGCGGTCTGGGAGTCGTTTCCGAAGCTTCCTGTCCTGGAACGGTGTCTGGAAGGAGCCCTGGGCCGTCTCGAAGGAGTTCAAACACCTTGGAGGTTAGCAGCAGCCCCAGCTGAAGTAGCCGTTCTCAGCCTCCGCAGAATAGGCTGGAGTTTGCGGTCAGGTGCGTGCATGGTCACGGATCGGCAGGAAGCGCTTGACCTTCGAGTGTCACCTCCAGCGCTCGTTCAGGAGCTAGCAGTTGCAGGCGCCAGGCGAGCTTCTGATCGGCAAGCTCTATTTTGTCGTGAGCCCAAAGCCAGGTGGAATATGCCGATATGTTGGGCAGGACTTGAGGGGCTCCTGCATCGGACCAAGGGATCCTGGACGAAGAGGTTTCAGAGGACGTTGAGATCTTTGATTTCTGGGGGACACTGGCCACAAAGTCGGCTCCACCACCATGGACTTGTCGGCTCAGCGAGGTGTTGTGTATGTGGTGATCCTGAAGGGTCCTTGTGGCACAGGGCCTACGAGTGCCCGAAGTATGCAGGGCTCAGGCGTGAATGGGTGGACGACTTCCACAGGACGAGGGCTCGCAGGGTCCGCGAATGGGGGTACGACGAGGGGGAGAGGTTTGCGAGAGGCCTGTTCCCGTCGCCAGAGTTGGTCTTCCCAGTCCCGACCGAGGCCCAAGAGACCATCTTGTGGTACAACAGACCTGAGTCAGGGCTCCTGAGTGGCACGCTGTTCTTAGACGGCTCGGCCCTATGGGCCTCGGCTCCGTTTTTGGCCCGAGCGGGCTGGGCCATTGTGCAGGTAGATAGGTTTGGAAATTTAGTATCGGCGGCCTACGGGCCCGTCCCACGCAGTGTGTGTCCTAAGCAGAGCTCTAGAGACGCGGAGGATTATGCCGTCTCGATGCTGCGTGTGTGTGCTATGGCGCCCTCCGATGTCTTTATAGACTGCGCAGGCACTGTTGGGGCTCTCCGTGGCGGCGAAGGCGCGGGATCCCAAAGCAGTTGTGGTCGGGCCCAGCTCTGGAGTCCGTTCTGGGGAGCGTTCTCGGAAGGGGACTTCCAAGTTTTTAAAACCAAGGCCCATTGCACCAGGGCCCAGGCAGATGCGGGTGCTACCACGGAGTGGGAGTTCAGAGGGAACGCCCACGCCGACAGGTTTGCTAAGCTAGGTGCTGCGGAGCACGGCGTGGGTGTGGAGCAGTATCAGTTGTGGCAAGGCTTTAAGTTTTTAGCCCAAGAATCCGCCCGATGGGCGGCTTGTGTGCACGTTGAGTCCGATGGCCAGGACTATGAGGACTTGATGGAAGCGTACTGGAAGTCTCGGGGCTCCGCTGCCGTGGAAGACCCTGAGGCCCCAGAGGACCCCGAGCCTGTGCCCCAGGCTAGCAGCAGTGGTGGGGAAGCGGGGTCGTCGTCGCTCGTGGGCTACGGGGTGGGCGACGGGTGGGAAGAGTATGCCGACGCCAGTTTTTGGTGGCGAGGCCACAACCTGCTGGAGGCAGACGTGCTCAGCCGCACCGCCCACGTTTCCTCGGTCGTCTTCTGCTGCCGCTGTGGCACGGTAGCCTCGGACGGCAAGCTAACTACGGGTCTCTCGGGGTGGTGCCCCGAGAAGGCCAAAGCTGGTGGTGTGGACCAGCTGCGAAGGATCAAGAAAGGAGAATTCCCCTCGTACCGCGCCAATGTGCGCTTTTTGAAGGTCGGGAGGCCGCACGGAGTGCTGCCAGCGACCCGCTCGAGCCTAGCCGAGGCCGAGCCGAGCCTGCCCCCAGAGCCGCAGCCCTCGGCCCCAAGCGTCGGGGCTAGCGGCGGATGGGGAAGGGCTGATCTTGGGGGGCGGGCCGAGGTTCTGAGGGCGTTTGGGCTGTGGGGGGGGGAGCTCGAACTGGTCCGAGACCTCGGCCGATCGGCCCTGCAGCGGAGCGCGGACAGCCCCGATGAGGGCGAGTCCGACGCCGAGCCATTCTGATTTAGGGCTTGACCCCGCGTTTAGCGCAAACCCATACCATACCATACCCCCCTCCCCTCCCTCCCTCCCTCCCTCCCCTCCCCTCCCTCCCTCCTCCCCTCCCTCCCCCCCTCTCCTCCCCTCCCCCCTCCCCTCCCCTCCCCTCCCTCCCTCCCTCCCTCCCTTCCTTCCTCACGCCAGACCCCCCCCCCAATCGCTGGCGCACGTGGCGCGCCAGGGGCGGCGCCGCCGGAGGCGCCGCCATGGGGGGGCTCCAGCGCAGGTCCCAGAGAGCAGCGCGGGGCTCCGAGAGTGCCGGTTCGCGCGGCTGCTTCCCTCCCCGGG